GAGTACCGTTCACTCTCGATTGACGATGAAGAAAAGATACGGTTCATCGTACTTAAACTGGACACGGATGATGATTTAAAGGTTATGTGAAGTACCTTTTACCGTTACTCAACAAAGTGTCTGATTGAAGTGGATGTGACGATTCAAAGTTCAACCTAATATATTATAAAAATGCTGTAACATCCTGAACCACCTGTTTGTAATAACACGTAATGTTTACGTAATATTTATATATAATATTTTATGCTAATTTATATTTATTTTTTCCGTTCTGTTTTCTAGTTTGAACTAACAGAACATATTCTAGAGATGCATCTCTGAAAAATTCACAGATTAATGAACTAAGAGGAGTTACGAAGATACATCTCTAAAATAACTTTTTGCACATACAAAAATGCATATTTGAGGATGTGAAGAAAAAAAATGCATCTGAAGATTTCAAATGCTAAAGACTTTCGAGTCTTTTCATGATAGTGGAGTAGAACACATAAAAGTGGTAATATCAATCCCATAGGTTAAATCTTCTTAACTTTAGATTTTATTAATAGTGAGAGTTTAGTGCTTCTTTTTTTTATGATTTCTTTCTCTTTTCATGAGAGCCCTAGATCTTTTCTAAGCTCTTTCTTTTGCCTTAAAAAAATACTTCAACTCAATTCTCTCTTACAAACTCATTAATTTGGAAAGTGGTAAAATTCTTCACTGATAAATTGTGTCACATTTGAATGGGAAAAAAAAAGTAATTTTTTAATAGTTTTAGACACCAATTTACAATTTTTTTATAAGACTTGGTCATTTTAAAGTTATGAGAACCAACTTGCAAAGAGATATTCACATTGTATAAAGTAAAGAGATATTTTAAAGTTCCTTAATTCTGATATCATTTGAAATTCACTAGGACAAAATACCTATAAATTTCCTTCATTTCAAAAAAAAATCTTCAAATTTTATAAATCCAAACAATAGAATTTACTCAAACATACTCTTATATTAAATTTCAGTAGATAATTTAATTACCACTAGCAAATCATTCACAATGCTTGTTTCAGTCAAGAAAATAATCCATGCAATGCAATAATCAACTTCCACAAAGCATTTCAACATCAGTTATCATGTTATGTGATAATTATTTAAGCAATTAACCCATTAAATTATTGACATTGTTGAAGTATTTACAGGAGGAAGAGGGTCAGTGTCATTTTTTCAAGGACAATGGCCTCAAGTAAAGGCCAGCAACAAGTAACTATATACAAAAGGATCAGCAAAAGCAGCATGCTTTTGAAGATGGTGTAAACTAGAAGTTTCAGTTGAGGTCAAAGTATCTCGGATCTTCGGGAAAATGGTATTCCACATTCATCTGTCAAATAAACCACAACAAACATTGTGAGACACTCGCTATAGGCAGATCGAAAAATGCTCACAAAAATATTCACATGCAAAGATAAACCATAAGCATATGCATACCTTTCCCTCATCGGCATCTGAATGACGCTGAGGGAACACAGCCTTTAAATCATTACACAGGTAGAATCTCCGTTCCCCTTCCATGTCTGATCTGGCTTTTTCTGAGAGAGAATTATATCTACATTTTTGAACTGGCCTACCTGTCTTCTTAAGAGAAGGGCAGATAAAGCGAAGATGGAGGGCATAACGAAGTGGACCAGCACTACTGGAATTCTTTGAACATGAATTTGATGACTTCCCTGATTCATCGCATGTTTTCTTCCAAGATTCCTTTCTTTCATTCCTTTCACATTCTTCGGTTAAGCTTCCATGGTCAAGCTTTACTGACGAAGGGAGTTTCAATATTTTCGAAGAGTCCTCTTTGTTTAGTAAACTTCCCAAGCTAGAACCCTTTGTGTTTCTCTGATCTGTAGATTTTGCTTTATTTACAACATCTACAGAATCTGTGTGCATTACTTCCTCACTACACGGGATGTCGTGATTTGTTTGCACTAGCGGAATCCCCTTGTCACTTCCACTGTCCAACCCGGTTGAACCATTTTTTGACTGATGGGACGTTGAGCTTGAAGTCTTGAGTGTGATTTTCTGGCGCAAGAATGTCTGCTCAATTATAATCAAAAAATTAGAAACTGATATACAACCAAGTAAATGTGATATGATTTTAATACATAACAAGAGCATATAATTTTGAAACATTTATATATAATGCAAGTTAAAAAACGAAAAAAGGAGATAAATGGAACAAGAGTCGAGTCGTCATACACAGATTGCAAATGGGACAAGAGCCGAGACCAAGTCGTACCTAAGTCAAACACAGAGGCTGACCTACATTTGAGAAAGATAAAACCAAACTACATTGTGACAAAGAAGGCCAAACAATATTTGAAACAACCAATGCCAAACTGTATCAAGGATCTCGCTCAAAAGCTGATGCGGAAAATCTAGACTATTGGAAGGAAGAATCAATAGTGCCACGAACTGATCTAAGGATCTAAGACAGATTGTGGAGCAGGGTGGCCAAAATCTGCAGAGCTATGAGAAAGAAAGAATGGTGGAAATAATTACATCATCGCAGCAAAGTTTCAGATTCTACAGAAACTGATTGCAAAACTTGACGGCAAAACAGTGATAGGCATTTTCATAACCCCTAAACCTCTTATTATGTTCTGTTATGTAATTAGTACTTAGTTTTTTATGACATGATTTTCTTTTGCTTGTGCTTCAATACTTTATTTGAGTATTTACTGATGTCAAGACCTTGTGATGGGTCTAAGGATTGATTTATAATTAAACTTTATCACAAACTGGTCCGAAGGAAGTTCAAAGCTAAAACTAGCCATGTCAGAAGAATAACGCCATTCTAAATTAAAATGTCCATGTCAATTAAGTCAAAGATTCATTCGTAGCGCCAAATCTTACTTTAGTACCGGCTGGCATATCACTCAAATCATAGTTGCAAAAGAAAGTGTGAAGAGGAGTCTTTTCTGGATTGCTTAGCACCTGCAGAGAACGATCAAACGAGAGAGTAAGGCATTCTTGCTTAAAAGATGCTAGTCTCTAACAGGTTCAATTGAAGACATTCAGATACAAGGGCTAAAACTGAAACTGAAACAAGTATATCAATACCAGCTGAATTCTTCCTTTCATTGGTATACGGAAACGGCTTTTGACAATTTGTGAATCGTCATTTCTAAGCCCCCGTTTCACAAAATGGCCTCTGAAGATGTTTGGTGAAGAATTTCCCGCAAGATTTATGGATGCATAATACAATAGATACCGGTCTCCATCGACACTAGTAACAGAAAATGGAAGCTTCTGTGATTTAGGAGAGAAGTTTCCGCCAGTAATACTTAACACGGCAAGAAAACCATCAATTTTCTACAGATATAAGAGAATAGAAACAAGTAACCGTCTGTCAGTTTCTGTAAAAATTATCAGTCAACCAAAAGTATAGAATCATGCCCGAGACCGATCATTAAAAGTAAAGCAATTACTTGCTAGTGTATATACAAACCTTACTATAGTTTCCAGATACAAACCGGCCAGATAAAAGGGACTCTTCAAATGAACCAACCAAAGACCTCCTAACCGAAGGTCCACTCAAGCTTCTAGTAAACCTTGTGATGTTAGAGACGGGAGCTGATTCTTGAGAAAGTGGCCGGTTCATGTAAGAAATGTCATCCAGAGAAGATGGACAAAAATCTTTGAATAAGAATTCAACATCTTCAAAAGATTTGCAAGAAATTTCTAAACCATCATCTTTATGATTTAATATAAAGCGTGAATTAGAATTGTCTAGTGATTCATCTTTACGATTTAAGATATTGCAATTCTTTATCTCTTCAGTAACACTCCTCCTGCATCTCTCGGCCGTTTTCATTCTTTCAGAAAATCTCGGACCAAGAGGTGACATCGAAAGCGGAGAGCTCGCAGGTGATACAGATATTACGCCACTTTGAGGTCTAGCCACAATACTTGATTCTCTTAAGTGTTCACTTCTAAGAATTGGCAAGCTACCCGGTATTATCAAGCCTCTATAATCGAGCAAAGGACCATCAGTTTGAAAAACGGTTTCTCTACTTTGTGCCGCGACTTTCTGCTCAGAGCAACTTGTCACGGGCCAAAACGGCAATGTATAACTGCTTTTACATCCAATATTTGCCTTCTTATTATCTTGTGCAATGGACATTCTGACATTATCACTCTTAACAAGGGAGAAAGGCTCAATATTTCTGTGTCCTATATCGAGAGAATCGCCTTTGAAATGACTTGGGGAGAGCATACTGCTCAGCGGAGATAAAAGTCGCTTCCTAACCAATGAAGTGGCAGATTCGGTGGCATTGGTTGAGATACCAGCAAAAGAAGAATGGATATTTCCACACGGAACATCGGTGAATCCATCAGCTAAAGAACTTGCTCTACCGGATTCAAAACCGACAACCCTGGAAGTAGGAGTGTGAACCCTTCGTTCACTTTTTGAAGCAGGGAGAGTACTTATATCTGAAGTATCAATCTTTAAACTGTGGACATTAGAAGTGACTTCCATTGCTCCTCTATAAAATGTCTTATCAGAAACAATCGACCTTTCTAATGAGGCATTCTTCGGAAAACCATCAAACGAAGATCCAACGGTACATGCAGCATACCCTTGAGTGCTAACATTATTCATGCTGCTTATCGCAGAGGGGCTTGCATCCGAAAACTGCGGCGAGCCACTTGAAACCACCCCAAAATGTTCGTTCTTTTCAGCAGCTTCACTTGGGGTTATTATTTGTGGCAAACCCATCCTTAATATCTAAGTCACTAAATACCGAACTTGATCTATTGCTAGAGATGAAAAATTTGAAACTATCAATGCAATCCCTCGGCAACGCTTACTGGTTTAAGAATTCAACTACTTATGCTACCTATTAACAACTACAATCGGAACGCTATCATACCAATCAAGTAATTCTAAACCATCTAAGAAATTCATCAAAGGAATCGAGTTTTAGACATTGCAACCATCATTTCTTTTGCAGGGCATCCACAATATATCATCAAAGACATGATGCTATAAATCCAAGAACTGCAGACGGAGCAAATCTCTCGATCTCCATACTTGCAGCAGATGAAGCCCAAACAATCCATAGTGGATGCCAATTCATTGCCTACAGACGAAAGAACGGTCGAATAGATACATCAGTCATCCGAGTTCACAAAGCCAAAAGTTATAACTTATACATAGATCACAATCATCTCAAATTCAACACTTCACAGATCATACTCGGATTACATATTTTCAACTAAAAACAACTTCATAAGATAATTCAAACAAACAAAAACAAAACTATATTCATGAAACTTGCAACTTGCAAGAGTATGGAACCAAATTCAAGCCAATCAACAATCAGATGGAAGAAAATGTAGAGAAATGAAAATAACATACATCAAGTTAAAAAACGATTTATCTTTGATCAAATTCTCAAGCTGAAGTATTAACAATAAATGCCATTAAACAAAAGGTTTCATTTGAAACAACCAACATAGAAAAGAAAAAAAAAAGGAAAACGTTGATCAAAACAAAATGGAAACCCCTCACCCTCTTGAGTTTTCATCAACAACAAGCAAAGAAGTAATTTATTTCATTTTTCATTCTTAAAAACCCTTCTTAAGCCGAACAACAAAAACTTAAATTTTATATAAAAAAATCAAATTTGCGATATAAACCCCAAAGATCAAAATAAAATAAAAAATAATAATAAAAAAAAACTCAGAAGACGCACCAACGAAGAACATAAGAACCCAGAAGATAAATCATATAAATAATATAAATAACCCTCCTGCAATTCAACCTTCCGATCAAAAAACCGAAAGGGTGTTCGAAAAAACAATTTTTTTATGTTGGGTTGTTGGAATTGCAGAAGGAGAGATAAGGGGTGGTGATAGATTAGGTGTTGGAAATGGAATAGGGGTGTGATTGTGAAGTTGAAGAATAAGGCATGTGTGTGTATCTGTGTGCCCACAATAACATTAAAATCTGTCCAATGTTTGTGTTTATAAATATAATACCAAAAAAAATTAGCCTCATCATTCCCACCGCACACACACCCACTTGCTTTGCCATCAATGTTTTTCATGTAATTATATCATTAGAAACACTAATTAGTAATTACAAATTTAATATAATGGATAATTAATTTTAAATAAGCTTTTTTTTTTGTTCTCTCTCTGTCATTCACCATCATGTATAGTATATTTTGTCTATTCTTTCATTGTTATCTTTTTTTTTCACTGATGCCTTCTGCAGCTTTTTTTTGTTTTTTAAAATTTGAAATTCACATTAATGTATTCAAGGGTTTGAATTTGTTTCTTTTTGACTGGTTATTAAGAGTTTGACACTGTTCTCTAAATGTTATTAAAAAAAAGTTAGAAACAAATCTGACCCAAATTGCTATATAAACTATGTACATGACACAATATTCCGGCTTTGTTAATTGAATTGGAGTATAGTGCGTGTTTGAATTGTACTTTTCTTCTGCTGCTTGCATTTATTTCTTTCTCTTGCATGTTTCAAATTTTCGGTGTATTATACCATTGCTGGCCATGGTTTGCTATAATAAGATAGAACAAGTATAGAAAAGTTTAATAGCTATTTTATGGATTAGAATCCTTTTTATTTAATGGATATTTCCATTTGACAAGAGATGAATACAATAGATATAATAGTATTATTTTCGTAGGACTATCTCAAATAGAAATGTCCTTTAAATAGAGATAATCTCATTTGAAAAGAGATGAATAGAATGGATATAATACTACAAGGATTCCATATGCTTATTAAACTCTAACTACTATGTCAATTATTATTAATAATAATAATAATAACAGTTTTCCCAAAAATAAAAACAATTTAAATTTCCTCTAAAAAAAAGACAATGTCGCTTTAATAAATTTAACATAACCTGCATTTTTTATAAGTATACAAGTCGTGTAGTTGTAACTTATGAAATGATAACACATGATATGTTTGATAGGTCTAAAAAGTTTTTTAGTGACTTTTAGTCTTGCTTTATTGACTAAAATAAACAGCTTTCTAAAAAAAAAAAGCTTTAACCTTGTAAATTTTAAATAGAAAACTTGTCAGTTTTAAGTGAAGTATGGCATGACTGCAGAATAGACCATAAATATATGCATTGATCACGTCATAGACCTAAACAAACTTTGAAAGTGTCTACCTTCCACCATACATTTATGGACGAGTATGACTTTATAGCTGGGAAAATGGCAAGAAAATCCATCAAATAGCTGGGAAAATGGCACGAAAATCCATCAAATAGCTGGGAAACAAAACAAGGGAAATGAATAGAGTTTGCAGAAACAATCTTTCCCTGTTATCCATTTCTCTAATAAAGATACATCAATGTGAAAATTCAAGAGTTATCTGTCATAGATATGCGAGAGGAATTCGAGAGGGGGGTATCTGTTTCTAGAATTATTTTCATCCTCAAAATTGAAGAGGTTTAAGTTGGTTTTTCTTGGGGATGTGAACAAAAAGATATCATCCGGAATATATACACAGCACATCATAAAGACAACCATGTAGAGTTTAGTTCCCATCAACACTAGTTATTATAGTAAAAATAATAGATACAAATTGAGATGAGAAACTAAACAATACATCACATATTTACATATACCCTCCCGAGAACCTTTTGTTGGGCAAAACCGTAGAGTTCCATGCCAGTGATTTTGCTTGGACGAGCATAGAACAAAAATACTTAGAATCATTCGCCTGAACCCAGCATCGTGTATGAGATTTAGCTCCCACCTGCATCCACTGAAAAACCTCATACTCACATTTCTCACCAACATGAAGATGACAAAATAAAACAGGATGAGACTGACTAAAAAATATTGATGCTGGCAATTGTCAAAGCAACACTTACGGAAACCTTGTTTCTCAACTACGTAAATTTTTCATAAATGAAGGAGCAATCTTTAAGTAACCTTGTCTATATGAAAATCAAAGATAGCTACAATCTAATTTAAAACACTAAACAAGTTTATTGATTTATAGAATGAGGAGACAGTTGAAAACATCCAGCACCATGGTATTCAGAAGTAAACATTTTCTGAGAATGGCAATAAAATCATGATAACCAACTTGGATCTTTACTCCAATGCATTACTTCATATGCTGATTCAGGCACTTAATAATATATAAGAAGACAAGTAGCTAAATTCTGAAAAGTAGTCCCAAGTTTATACAAATTTAAGTAAAATAAATAAATAAAAAGTACTTTACCTTTGATTTCACTAGAGTGAGAAGCAAGGTCAGATAGAGTTGATGCTCTCTGGGATAAAGGTGTTAGTGGATGGGATGCAGCTTCTTCAACCTTTTCTGGCATTTGGTGAGTGTGCAAATACTTATTAGTAACATTTAATACCACAGCTCTCTGACTACTAGAGGGTATAGAAAAACTCCGAGAGACAATGATGGGTGGAGTTGGAAGAGGAGATGCTGAACTTGATACACCTGGAGGAAATTTATTAGCTCCAGGATGCTCTGAATTCCTTAATCCTAAGGGAGCAGAGTGACCTACTCGAGAAGATTTTGTTGGCTTGCTGGTTTGATTACCAGGAGGTCTAGGAAGCTCATGTAGCTCACTTATCCTAGGTGAAGAAACAGGGGGGGGAGAAGCACCGGGAGATGCTTTTGGAGAGGAAGGCTGAGGTGTTGGCAAGCGAGGGAAACCGCCGGAGACAGGTTTTACAGACAATGGATTAGTCAATGGACCTGAAAAAGCATGCCTTTTAATTTTATCAATCGACGGCCGTGGTAACTGGGCAGATGTAGTATCACTGTTGCTTTCGTTGAGAACAGAGTGAGTTCTAGCGATAGCTGGTTCTGACAATTTTCCGTCAACAAAATCTTTCACATTCTTTTTTTCATCTAAAGGGGATGAATGCCACAAATCATGTGAAGATCCACTTGCACTTAAGCGGGGTGCAGAACTGGTTTTTGTTTCTTTGATTTCAACAGGTGTAGGAAGTACATAAGCATTGGGCTTTGCTACAGCAGCAGATGATGACAACAGTTGTCTTACTTTTTCAGCTGGGTCAAATTTCTTTTCCGCAAATATTGGAGCTGAATAGCTGCTGACTCTTGGTGGATCTCTATTTGAGAGATTAAAATCTCCATGATATTTGTCTAAACTTGGCTGCCAGAAAGCAATTTATTAAAAAGTATTAGAGGATGACCCAAGACCCAAGTCAAACTAGAGAAACTTTTTCAGTTGATGACCAGCTAGACCAAGACAACAATAAGAAGTGAATTACATAGTCATAGTCATAATACTAGATCAATACCCGTAAATTAGGTGTCAAATCATTCTTAGTACTTTATCCTAAATATAGAGATTTTGTTTTAAATGATGTAGGCCTAAGCGAATTGAGGAGCTTATTTATCTTAATTTTAGTTTAGATCTTATTTAAGATTTAAATGGGAGTTTCAAATTGGATAATCAAAACTTGTAAAGAATACCTCTGCAGTTTCTGTGGTTGAAGCTCGAACGTTTGAACGGCCTGATTCTTCCACCTGCTAATACATAAACAATGATCATATCAAGGTGAATCAATAACTCAGATTTTGAAGAAAGAAAAAGTTAAAGGAAGTTTTCTGCGTTGGAGTACGATAGCATCTACAGATGTAAACGGGTCTTAAATAACCATAGGGAAATGCTTCTGTGATATTCCTAGTAAAAAGCTAAGCAATATGCATTAAACAGATTTAATATGCACCAAGGCATTAAAAATCATACAATTATGAGTGATATTGAATTTCTACCTCTGCTGAGTTTGGCGAAGTGGGGGCGATATAGGCCACATCCTTGTTTGATCTGTAGTTAAAACTCAACTCACCGCCTTCAGTAGCCTCATATGCATACTCATTCCCATCATCTTCAAAACTACCCTTACCATCATCATCTTCCAGGCCACTGAATTGGTAATCAATATGCTGTAGTTTTGCAACCATCATAACATGTGGCTCAACAGCCTCCAGTGATTTAAGTCCCTTCCGAAAGAAATTCAACTATATTTAAAGTAAAACAAGATGAAAAGAGATAGATCAAGACTAGGCTGAGAAAGGATCTCAAAGACTTGAATGAGAAAGATAGAAAGTTTAACAAAACCTGAGCAGCATGGTGACGAGCAGCTTGTGTTAGGAGACTACGTGACTGGCCTTGTTTCAGGGATTTTAACCGAAAAGCACAGAGTGTTGCTTCCTCTTCGTATTCATCATGAGCAGCTCGCAAATGCTGTACAGTGATATTTTCACCCTTACCACTTTTTGACTTTCCTTTCTCTTTCTGTTGAGCAACCATGTATTCATAAACATCTCTGCACGCAATACAGCAGATTCAGGAAATACTCACAGAGGATAAGGCACAGAAAACTAATAACACTTTTATAAGTATGGACCTTTTTTCATCACACTGTCGCTTCATGTCCTGCATGAAGAATAGAAAGAAAATGAGATGTAGTCAATAATCGACTCTTGAAAACCAGCATTATGAAGCAGCAAACTAAATACACTGCCAAATTTATTTACCACTGTCTTAGGCAAGGCAATCTATATAGTTCCAAAAAGCATCAAAGAGGACATAGTTTTTCATGTCTCAAACTTGAGCCTTGTAAGGACAACTTTATTATGTTTGCAAAACCAAGCTTAAGAATAGAGAAAATCAAAGGTTGTTTATTTGTTGGGTATATAGTTCAATATTTAAATCTACTTTTCTGAGTATGCTCTGGTCAACATCATGTAAAGACAACTATTATGTTTGGAAAACCAAGCTTAAAATTACAGAATATCAAAGGTTCTTCATTTGTTGGGTAAGTAGTTTAATACTTTAAGTTCTGTAATTTTGCTCATACGCCTTGCTTAGTTCTGATTCAATCTCCACTACTATTGTAAATATCAACCTTCAAGTCCCTTGCACACACACATTGACAATGAACGCATGAAAAGCTTAACAAATCCTCCACACACTACTAACTAATGAATGCATGTAATATATGACACTGGCGGTATCAATTAATTTCCCAAAAAACGATATCAAATAAGGGGGGAAATTGA